AAATGACGTATTTAATGTATAGTTTTCATATTTTATGAAAACACTGTTCATTTTCATCAGTAAAAACTATTGAATATCCTATAGTTCAATTCATGAGTCAATTGAATCTAGACCAATATGGAGAACCTGGAAGCACGAAACGGCCGTTTCGTCCCAGTATGGGAATCCTCAACAGTGCACATCCACAATCTCGTCTATCGAGATTCAAATCCATGACCTATCGGTCTCGCACGAACTCTTAACTTCTAAAGCATTGACCTGGCCGGCATCCAACAGTGTTAATGTCTAACTTCGACCAAGTCACGAAATTTCATGACCATCTTCCATTGTACTGAGGTAGATACCTGGCATCGATTAACTCTACTAGTTACGACTTCTCATTAGGAGTTCCACAATAGGACGAAACAGCCGTCTAGTGCTTCCAGGTTTTTCATGACGGTGTAACTTCAATTAACTCATCAACTCAACTATAAAATTACTAAAATCTCCACAAAACCCCCCTTTTTGATATTGAATATTCATAGAAACTTATTTTATCATAGAAATAATTGTATCTCTTTTGTTTCTGTTTCACTCACTCAATCATTGATTCATTCTTCTCCTTTTTTTTCTTTCTTTTTCCAGCAAATGTTGAATTTGTTATTATTACAACAGGATTTATAACAGCACAATCGTTTATTGGTTCTCTTTGTCAACCGGTTAAATCAACTAATCTGATTCCATTTTGATTCCCCGCCCACTTTTTTTTCTTCTTTAAATCTTGTTTTAACGGATTATCTAAAAAAATGTTTTTCTTTTTCTTTGTTTATTTTTACATGATCATTTACTCCAATCAAACATTCTGATTATATAATTTCTCTTTTTAAAAAAAACTAATTCCCTATTTAGATTTACAATAACTAAAATAGTAGTCGTCGTAGTCCTAGTTGTAGAAGTAGTATTGGTCGCGGTAGTCCCAGTAGTAGTCGTCGTAGTGTTAGTAGTGGTCGTGGTAGTGTAGTGAACAAGACCACGGGTGGGGACAGTCGGGTGTATTTAGCACAACAATTACAGACTATCTCAATAAAATCTAGATACCATATAGTAAATCGTCAATTTGCAAAATGTTCATGCATCAAATCAAACTGGACTGTTTCTGTTGCAAACACTAATCCATTGTGTCTCATTCCATTGTTCATACGTTTTCTTACAAATTCCATTGAGTTTTCGCTCTTCGTTTCTTGATCTTCCCCTCATCTTCTGCTGCCAGACATTACGTTTTAACTCGCGTCATATACTACTCATATCAATATAAGTAGCTCACACCACAGTAGTAGTAGTAGTAGAACTAGTCGTCATAATCCTAGTAGAACTAGTCGTCGTCGTCGTAGTCATAGTAGCGGAAATTGGATTAGAACAAAGTAAATTCTTAATTTTTTAATAACAATTGAGAACTAGATGATCAAAGGATTGATTTACAGCTTCAGTTATTTAGTGATAAATGAAATAAGAAAAGAACAAGGTAATATTTTGTTCAATGAAGAATACTGATAGTTTCAAATAAATTGAACATTGAGTGGAAAGTTGTATTTCTGAAGTTTCGTGACTCAGTGTAAGACACTTCTTCAAAGTTGCATTATTCATTTACTCTGAAGAAGTGACTTATATTCAATCACAAAACGTCAGAAATACAACTTCTCTACTCATTGGGATATAACAAAAACTATATTGATTATTATATTATCTATTATTTACACATAACCTGTGTTACATCTGAACGAAGAATAAATGAATAGCAACTGCTAGGAATTATTTATGGGCTTTCATTACATATATTCTTAATGGATAATTATTAACTTAATTATATATGTATATAGATTCCCAGTCTATTAGTTAGTCTTTCACAGACACTAGTGGCTTGATCTTGTGTAATTATTATTTTTCATTTTTATGGTGTGACGCAGTTTGGTCTGTTTGAAAAGAAATCACATATCTGAAATATACTATTCACACAACGAAGGCTGATATTTGTATTCTAAACTGAAGGGACTGGGCTAGGTGAGAGGCTACTATAAAGAGAGCTGCTAAGGATACGGAGTCGACTCAAGACTGCTAGTTCTGGTTGACATGTCATTGATTTAGCATAGAGAAAAGGTTAATTGATAGGAGCAAAAATCATAACAACATGAATATTTTGGTGTTGTTGAAATTAATGGATAAAGCATGTCCTATGTCAAGAAATTAAAGTGTCAACAGTGTGTTCGGTAATTTGTTTGACTTATATTCACAGTTTCCAGAGATCACAGCTATTCTTAAATGTTATGCACACTTTTCTCTATAACAAAATAGCTGATCGTGAATCATTGACTCCAGTGAAACTTTGTGTATTACTACAGCGTATCATAACGGTCTGGACAATCAATGAAGGAAATACAAACCACCAATCTAATAACAGATGGTTATCCTCCTCAACATCTAAGTAAAAACATGTAGATTGAATAATAACTGTCTCTCAACTAAATAGCTCAATATGTTCCAGCTTATAAAAGACAACACTCTGATCATAAGCAAGCTGGACAAAGGCGGAGGGCTAGTTCTAATGAACAAAGCCGATGACATTGATAAAATGAACTTGATTTTGGATGACCCGACGAAATTTCAAAAACTCAACAACGTGAAAGACAAATATGAAAGCAGAGAACTTGCTAACTATGTTGTAATAGATTTACGATAACAAGTCTTGAATTTTGGCGCGAAATTAATGAATTTATTTAACTAAATAGTTTTGGTGTCATAGCTGATATCATTTCGTTATGAAAATCATCAATCCAATTCCTAACTCTAACCATCAACTGTAAATCATAATTCTAATTCCTCACAATGGTTTATAACCCTCATTTAGCTGTAGTATGTAGGTGGACATCCTCAAGGTCTCTTTAGCGTCACTTAAAGGTAGTCCATAAATTATAGTCTCACCGATCACAGTAATAAAGTTTGGAAACATTATATGCCTTACCAGTGAAACATTCATCAGATACGATTGATTCAGAATAAATAACATTTGTACTCTGTTAGAAGTTAAATATGTTGACATATTTTTGAAATTCATATTCTGTTGAGGAAGTTTGATCCCCAGAACGCACTTGGGAAAGGTCTTAGTTATGTAATTTTATTCAGGAAATTTGAATTCAGTGTTTTCGCGCCAAGAGGTGCTTAATTTACATACAGCTTACATTTCTCACTCAGAAATCCTTGACTGTCATTCGTTGACGGGTTTTTTAGTACACTATTTTGTGGCTCTCCCATGGGCGTTTGTATCATTGTATAAATAAGCTTGATTTGTGTGCATAGTGACGTCGTATTTTCTGTGTTCTTATAGAATACATTCTCTACGTCCCATCAAGACTTCTTGATCTAATTAGCAGGGCCGGGGGCAACGGATTAGAATAACCTATCGTGTCACTGTATCTTTGACATTCATTCCGTTTACCGAGTAAGGTAAATTCGTAATAGCATTCAAGCATATCATATTCTAAGATCAAAATATCTACGTCATTGAATGCAAAAACATGTAAAGTTTTACATTCTTCTCTTGAGTGTACTTCATGACCGCATCTACCATATGGACATGACTAGATATAAGGCTTTGTGGTTTTGTTTGTCTTAAATGATTTTAATTCTGATAAGTTTCCTGACAATACTCGGATTAAATTAGCGGGTAGAACTTTGGAATTATTTTATGTCAACCACTGTGAATTTTGGGAATATAATTTCATTTTGAATGTATTCTATCAACTTGTAGTCAACCATAACGTTGTTAATCCAAATTTAATGGTTGAATTAATGAGTTGATCTAAGCTAGAACATGGAAGTACTGGACGATCTTTTCGTCCTAGTACGAGACTCCTCAGAATTGCGCATCCACGGTCCTCCACACGGGATACGAACCTAGGATCTTCGAACGTTTAACCTCTAGACAACTGAGCCGGCATCCATCAGTGTTAATGTCTAACTTTGTGAACTAGTTGAAGTTAGACATTAACACCATTGGATATCTGCCAGTTCAGTGTTATAAAACTTAAGTTTCCCCGCGTGAGACCGAAGGTACTGGTTTCGAGTCCCACATGCGGGATCATGGATGCTCACTACTGAGGAGTTCTGTACTAGGACGAAACCGCCATCTAGTACTTCCAGGTTTCAATAGTGTTACTGACACTTATCTATTCATGATATCAATCTTAACCTAACGAATTCCACAAGCCTACACTGAAATAAAACATCATTTTCATAGTAGTCATCCTTATTAACCAGTCATTATAAGCAGTGATGAATGTTGGCTACCAGTGGAATCTAGAACATATGTCTAGTCAATAAGAATATTCAAACAACCAATACAAAAAATGATGAAGTCATTCTCATCATTCTAAGAATGACAAATACCGTGGTACGGTCGAAAGTGGGGAGAGTCAGCTCTCCCTCTCTAAATCCTCTCACATGGCCACGTGCATACAGCCACTTTCAGGGAAGTCCTACTCACTGCCCTATCATTGCGAGGGTGTTGTTTAAGAAATTGATAGGAGCTTTAACTAGGTTTGTGAACACGGAGAGTTCACCTAGGGGAGTTGGAAAACCGTGATTCCAAACGGATGATGCACATGGGTTGGCTCCAGGATCCTGGGAGAACGAATGGCGTATGAAACAATTATTAGTCACTGGCTACTATGGGACTACATCTCCTTACATCGCTCCACCACCTTTTGGATTAGACCTTTAGCCCCACAAATTGAATGATTTATGTTGTGCATATCTATTTGGTGCCTCCTTATATCAGTATTTATGTGTTGAAATAAATCAATAAAATAAAATCAACAAACATTACCACTTGCAATAAACCAATGAAATTTTATATTTGATTATAGACAACTCTTGTTGTCAATAGAATATTCATGTTCATGTAAATAATGAATAAAAAAAACAAAAAAAAGAGAAAAACAATTCATATCGTTATCAGAAAACATGATGAGAAATATATAGTATATGAATTAGATTGAATAATACCTTGGTTACTATAAGTGTTTTTAATAAAAATGTTGATGGAGGTGGGTGTGAAGGTGGAGGTGGGGTTTGATTCCTTTATTTATTTATTTATTTGTTTGTTTTTTTTCTTTTAAATTTTATTTTAATTTTCTATCATTATGATTTAGTAATTTACTATTTGATTGTATATAATAACTTCGTTTACGATTACGACTAGATCTTATAGTGCATGCACCTTTCCAACACTAGAAATAAAAAGAAAAGAAAAAAAGAATTTAATGGAAGAATTACTGATCTAGAAGGATCTAGAAGAAGATCGTTATATTCCACAATTTCAATCTTCAAATAATCATATCATTATCTTGGTTCAAATAAATTTGCAGGATAAATAAACTTCTAGACCACTCAGCCAGTATCCAGTTCTGTTAATGCCTAACTTCAATCAATTCACAACATTTCAAGACTATCTTATATTGTCTTTGGAGTGTAAATGCAATACACTTAACACAGGATAAATAAAGTTCTAGACCACTCAGCCAGTATCCAGTTCTGTCAATGCCTAACTTCAATCAATTCACAACATTTCAAGACTATCTTATATTGTCTTTGGAGTGTAAATGCAATACAATTAACACAGGTTAACTTCACTTGTCACGTCTTCCAACTAGAACACTGTAAATTTCTTCTCGAATGTAGTCACATTTGAGTACATGGTAATTGCCAATATAGGGATTGTGCAGATTTCAATGGTGATCTAACTTAGTTCTGTTAATGATCTCAATGAAATTCAACAATCTTCATAATCCCATACTGAAAATAATACTATTTAAGAATATATATATAACCATAATCATTAGTAGTCTTTTTTATGCCTGTTACTCCTAATGAAGAATAGGCAGCCAAACAGCATTCCTCAACCCACTCTGTCCTGGGCCTTCTTTTCTAGTTCCATCCAATTCTTGTTCATTTTACTCATGTCTATCTCCATTTCCCGGCGTAATGTGTTCTTTGGTCTTCCTCTTTTCCTTTGGCCTTGAGGATTCCTCCTAGAATCCTTCCGAAGGCTATTGCCGGTCCCAAGCCCAGATAAAGGAGGAGGGTTGAACATGGGGTTAGCGATTCCATCCCGTAGAAAACTAACTCGCTAAAAAAACGCTAACCAGAAAAAAATTATTCAAACCTTCTAAACTCTGCCCTGGGAGTCAGAAGGTCTTCATTTAGAAGAGTTATGACACCGAATGATGAAAGCCGAGTTCCATTAGTAGTCTACTAGACTACAATTTATGGACGAACCATTTAGATTTACAATAATTAGTCTTGGATATTGGCGCGAAATTCATTCATCCATTTGATTAAAGAAGATTTTGGGGTTTTAAGTGATATTAGTTTGTGATGAAAACCCTAAATCTAATTCCTAACTGTAATCATCAACTGTAAATCATAATCCTTATACTTCAAACTGTTTTATAATCCACATTTAACTCTAGTTAATTGGTGATTATTCTTAAGGCCGCTTTAACATAGGTCAAAGGTTCTTCATAAATGATAGTCTTATTATATGTTAAGCACAATCATGCTTTACAGAAAGATAGAATGATACTTGCTAATATTGTGGTGTTTAAATCATATTCATTCGAATCTATGTTCACATTTATGGATTATTTGAGATCAAATTTATGTTATCAGTATGGGAACTTGTAGAGATTGGACTATTTTCACAGGTGAATTCATGAGTCCATCTAAACTAGACCACCAATGAAAACCCGGATGTACTGAACGGCCGTTTCGTTGAAGTTAATACCAGTGGTCTAGAGGTTAAGCTTTCGCATACAAAGTCGAAGGTCTTAGGTTTGTATCTCATGTGGAGGGTCGTGGATGAACACTTCCTGGAGAGTTCCGTACTATGACGAAACGACCTTCTAATGCTTTTAGTTTATTCATGATGGTCTAACTTAGTTTGACTCATCAATTCAACTACATAAATAAAATGTTATCTCGATGTTTCATAATAGTTCAATAACATTTTTTATCCTTTATAAGTAAGATAATTTTTATTGATTTTATGTTTGTATATTTTTATATTACGAACCCAACTTAGTCTAAATCAATCAATCAATCAATCGACAACAGCAACAACAACAATTGATTTCATCCCCAAAAATCGAATTCCACCTGGAGTTCATCTGAATCTACTGCCAGTTCCAAGCTTAGATAAAGGAGAAGGGTTGGGTATGAAGTTAGCAACCCTATTCCGTAGAACTTCTTTAACCGACTAAAAATCACAAGTAACATACATAGTCAATAGATCTATGATCATTCTATGAATATTTTTTTATTTATTTAATTGAACACATAGATATTGGGTATAAGGAGACACCGCATACATATGCACCACACAAATCTCATTTGATATGTATGAGGGCTATGATACTGCCCTGAGTGCCCAAACCGAAACAAGTACCAACTTGTACTAATCAGAAAGGAACTGACATTCAAAACACATTGATTTAACTTACCGCCAATTTTCTTGTATAACGTCTTACACGTGATAGAAATACAGTATTCTTTGTAATATGCAATGTTTGTCTTGATTTAAATGAATGAGTTAACATTAAATATTTTTTACCAATTATAATTTCATCTATACAAATACATTGTAATGGCCATGAATAAGTTAAGATCATTTTTTCATCATATGGATGTATATCTGAATCAAATGTTTTTAATATATGAAAACGAAATAATGGTTGATAATGATCATTTTTACCAAACCACCATAATGTACCAGATATACGTATTATAGCAGCTAAAAGTAATGAATATACAATATATAGACAGAAATAGAATAAGTTATGTTATTAAGAATGAAATATAAATTGTAATAGTTGAAGTTAAATCATCATGGAAAACCTGGAAGTATTGAATGGCTGTTTCATCCTATTATGAGACTCCTCCTTGGTAGTGTGCGTATCCAAAATCCCGCCTCGCGGGATTCGGACCCAGACCCTATCGGTCTCGCGTGCAAATGCTTAACCTCTAAACTACTGAGCTGACTGAAACCCAACGATGTTAATGTTGAGCCTAAACCAATCCGTGAAACTGAGCGACCATCTTTCATTTTACTGAGGTAGATACCTGTCCCTACCCGATATGAATTAGCTCCATTGGTCATGCCTTCTTACTAGAGCTCAAAGAATTCCTTCACGAATCTAGTCGCTAGTGAACACGTGGTAATTATCAATATAGGGTTGTGGAGATGCGCACTGATGAGGAGTCCTGCAATAGGACGAATCCGACCGTCCAGTGATTTCGGGTTTTCAATGGTAGTCTAACATCGATCAGTTCATGATCTCAATCAATAAATTTTAATAGTTGAATTCATGAGTCAAATGAAGTTAGATCACCATGGAAGACCTCGAAGAACTGGATGGCCGTTTCGTCCTATTGTTAGACTCCTCATTAGTGCGTATTCAAAATCCCGCCTCGCGAGATTCGGAAACAGGACCTATCTGTCTCGCGTGCAAATGCTTAACCTCAGAACCACTGAGATAGCCAGCATCCAATAGTGTTAATTTTTAACTTCAACAAATCCACGAAATCAAGCGCACGAAACTGATAGGTCCTGGGATCGAATAACGCTAGGCGTGATCGTGGATGAGCACTTACAAGGAGGAGTTCCATACTAGGATGAAACGGCCATCCGGTGCCACCAAGTTTTCCATGTTGGTCTAGATTCAGTTGACTCATGAATTCAACTATTAAAATTACTATACTATCTAGAAAACCCCTCTCTGAATGAAATATAAATTGAAAATGATAAAAAAGTTGTTCTATACAACCATTTAAACTGATAAATGTGACTTTCATTCAGTGTTTTTTTTCTAAAAGAAAGAAACAGTCTTTTAAGACAGTTTCTCATACTTCACTTCTATAAGTATTCTAATTGAACGATAGATTCGGTTTCCTAAGTACTTTTGGTAACCTCCAGGTTAAATGTACACAGCAACTTGAACACGAGGGAAAATTCTCGAAATATAAAAAACAAACACTTTGGTCGAAAGGTTCGTATTTATAGCATTTTATTATTATTATTATTAGCTTTATTCAATATTATAATTTTGGTACAATATAGAATTCTCAGCGCAAAGTATTTCAACAAGTTTCCGTTTCTTTCTTCTTGGTCGGTCCTGGCGATAAATATTGAGGAATCGCCAGTTAGATGTTAGCACTTCAGTGAATGAACAACTGAATAATGTACATTCTTTTCGTTGTACATTGCCAGGAACCATATTGTCTCTTATTGAGTTTTCTGTAACTTTGACAACGAAAGGTTGTACACTTTTCAGAAACGCAGCAGAATAGGTTATGCGATTAATAAACATAATGATATATTAAAACAAACAACAATAGATAACTTGTTGAAATATCTAGATGGCAGGAACAGGTAGCCCAGAAGCTCAATCAGGTTTTCGGAAGCTTTTGGAACGTTAGTAGCAGTATAGGCAATCATCCAATCTGAGATACGACATGTGACTTTTCATTCATTCATTTGGGTAAATGGAGTTTTGACATTATAGCTAGATGTCAGTCCGTGGTGACCCCCCCCAAATCGAATTCCTAAGCTTAATCATCGACTGTAAATTATAATTCTTTTTCCTTACACAGGTTTATAACCCTCCTTTAGTCCCAGTTATTAAGTGGATAGGCGAGACTCTAATTTAGGGACGACCTTTGAACGAATCCTAAGTGACCTTGACAATTATTAGCCAATCAGAAGACAGTTAGAATAAAGTGGGGATATATTGTAAGTAATGAATTACAGTGAATATTCTTCTTTTAAATGATTTAAAAACTTGTTAAGGTTTGATAAAGGTTCAGAGGTTCTGAATTCATAACGCATATGGTATAGAAACTCGTCCATAGGGTTAGGGTCGGGTTAGGGTTTAGGGTTAGGTTAGGGTTTAGGGTTAAGGTTAGGGTTAGTGTGCTAAGAGTTAGAGTTAGGGTTAAGTTTAGGGTTAGGGTGCTAACATGAGATCGGTTTACAACGGATGTTAGAGGTTAGGCTTAGAGTTGTAGCCTGTCAATAAACACCACTTCTCTGAAACCCGATGTAGACCGATCTCATGTTAGCAGCCTGGCCCTAACCCTAAACCCTAACCTTAACCCTAAACCCTAACCCTATGCACGAGTTTCTATACCGTATGCATTATAAATTCAGAACTTCGGAGCTTTTATCAAATCTTAACAAGTTTTTTAGTCATGTAAAAGAAGAATATCCACTGTAATTCATTACTTTCCTGTAATATATTTTTACTTTATACTGTCTTGTGATAGGCTTATAAGTGAAATTGCTCAAACGCTTCTTACTGGCTCGTCCCTAAATTAGAGTCTTGCCGTCCCATATATTGTAACCTCTCATTAATCACCTCCTCTCTAAAATCCGCTGTAAACCAATCGTATGTTAGCATCTCGTGTTGAACTTGGCTCCGTGACCTTGAAATTGTTCAAACGCTTCTGATTGGCTCGTCTCGTAATTAGAGCGTCGCCGGTGAATTCTCTCTAGGTCACTTTGGTGTTGCTCAAAGGTCATCCATAAATTATAGTCTCACCACAAGAACATATCTCAAAACGTCTTATGAAGGTTATGAAGATTAAAGGATTTTAACAATGCTATTGCAAAACACCTCTGTGACACAGGGCATGAAGTAAATAGATTGAAATGTTTCAGCACCATCATACAACAGTCACACTCTGTTCTTCTCAAATTCACCCAAGCTATAGATATTAATCGACTATTGTAATGTTACCTCTGAAGGACGTCTTAATGACCTTCAGAATATCCACCTTCTTACTAGAGCTAAATAAGGGTTATAAACCAATGTGAAGAATTCGAATTAGGAGTTACAATTGATGATTAGGGTTAAGAATTAAATTTATTATTATTAATTATAATGCCAAAACTGTATTTACTCAAATGGATAAATGAATTAAGCGCCAAAATCCAAGACCTGTTATTTTATACGTGATTGATTCGTTTATAAATTATAGTCTCACTGTTCTTGGAATCGAACGTAGGTCCTTCTTTTTTCTGTATTAATGTGACTATTTTGGGAGGTACATGTAAATTTGTATACTCAGTTGACAGTAACATGAAAGGGTTACTTATAGACTGTTAACTGAAGTGAAGAATTTTGTAAAATAAAATGAATATATGTCATTCTTATCAATTCGTTGTTCTTACCCTCTTCAAGAATCTATGAGGTCATTGTACTACCTGTAAATCAATTTTTTTGAGAAAATAAAAGAGATAGATATTAGTAAGTGTGAGATCTACAGAGGCATCACAATACTATCATTGCCGGTAAGGTTTTCACACAGAATGTTGTTGAACAGAATAAACAGTCAGTAGACACCTAACTTGGAGACCGATGGGCTGAATTTCGTAAGGACTGACTATCTACCAACCAAATACCAACACTAGCGATCAGTACTTACCGGTTGAGTAGATAGAACTCATCACTATACATCAAATTTATTAGCTACGAGAAAGCATTTAACAGTGAGAATAAAAAAAACCTTATAAAACATTCTTTACACTATGATATATGTCAGAAGGTGGTTGCCATCATATGAAATTCTCACGATAGACATCATTGCAAAGTTATGCATGCAGAGCACTTCACAAATCCATCCCCAGTGAAGATCAGTGTCAGATAAAGCTACTGACTCCCAGCTTTTTTCTTTCACCTGATAGTTGACTGGATTCTGAACACCTCCATATCTCAGTGGAAGCACAGAATACAATGGATATCTTGGATACAAACTAGACGACTTTAATCTCGTAAACGATCTAACCCTTCAACCCACTACACAGAAACACGTTTCAAACATAGTTCATGAATAACAGAAAATGTAATTCATAGTATAGTTATAATTGGAATCAATAATTATAAAGATGAATAGTTTAATTAAATATTAAACTTACACACAGTAAAATTAGATTTCATCCATTTACTTCTTGTATATAATGTAGGAAACATTTCATTACATATTTCAGGGATATCCTTTGGACAGCCAAGATTTACTTTAGATTAAGAAAAAGATAACAGTGAGATAGAATATTGAAGGTAACATATCTATTAAGTAGTTGAAATCATGAGTCAATTGAAGCTAGACAAACATGGAAAACCTGGATGCACTGGATGACCATATCGTCCTATTATGGGACTCCTCCTTGGCAGTGCACATCCACGATCCCGCCTCCCCCCACGAGATTTGAACCCAGGACCTATCAGTCTCGCGCGCCAGCACTTAACCATTAGACCATCGATTAAAATCGAAAGTTTCCCAAAAAACAAAACATCCATACAAGAGTTAATGCAATAAACTTTTAATGATTTAATTTGTGAATGGATTTTTTAAAATATTGATTGAATAACATTATAAGATCACGATCTGTGAATCATATAACTAGAATTCTTGACTTTTGTAGTTAACTTATGCAGAGCAAGTATGTTTATTACTAGTGGGTTTATTATTAATATTGCTCTTAAATGCCCTTATATGACACAGAAAGAAGAGAGTTAGCTCTCCCTCTCCAAACGCGCTCACATGGCCACCTGTGTACAATCACTGTCAGGGAAGTCCTACTTACTGCCTTCTCTTGACGGGGGTGTTTATGAAATCGAGAGGACGAAAAGAGAATGTCTGGCGCTTTAACCGGGTTGGTGAACACGGAGAGTTCACCTGGGAAAGTTGGAAAACACTGATTCCAAACCAATGATGAACATGGGCTGGCTCCTGGATCCTGAGGGAACAAATGGGGTATCAACCTATTGTTGTTCACCGGCTACCATGGGTTTGGATCTCCTGAAATTGCTCTACTGTCTTGTAGATTAGATTTGTAGGTCAAAGGCTGGGAGAGTCATTCCCTAAGAAAAGCATCTGCTTCAGTTTGAACATCTGAGTAGTATTCTAGCCTTGACACAAACCGAATAATTTGTATGGTGCATATATAATCGGTTCCTCCTTGTACGATTGTTCTCACTTGAAATTATATTAATCTTAATCAAATGTAGAAAATACTTCAATCTGCCTCATAGTAATCAATCATTCTAATAATTCAATTTGTGCTTCAAATACAGAGTGCTTAAGATTAATACTGACAGGAAAATGGTTTTCTGAAGAAGTATCGACAATATCAATGAATGTATACAATTGAATTGGATGTTATGGCTATATGACAGTATGAATGCATACGATTTGCAGATTTTCAATGGCTATCACTATTTACCATAGAAACATGAGTGCTTAAGATGATTTCTTCTTGAATATGAAATGCTATTATATCTGTTCCTGATTTACAGGAAGAAGTAAATTACACAGTCATTTTAAGAAACATCTTGTTTTTTATTAGATACAAATACGGTCATAAATGGTTGTGTAGCGGTAAATAAAGTCCCAAAATCAATAGCTCTGTAAGTCTTCGACATTTGATGCCGACCACATTAGTTTCAATGGACTTACCTAGCTGATGTTGCTCGGTCATGCATCCGCATCAGGTCACGAGTGGGAACGCCATGCTCAACTTCCCCTGAAATCGCTAGCTAGTCTAGATCAGTTGATCCTCGATATATTGATAGCTCATCAAATATATCTTCGAACCTCCTTGCTTCTGACTTTTGGTTTCACTTGATGGGTACGATTCATAGTAGAAGGTGTTACTGGTTAAAGCGTTGTCAAACTCCAAATACCTGTGGCATCTTCAGTTGATTTAAGTTCGACCACCATGGAAAACCTGGAAGTACTGGACGGCCGTTTTGTCCTAGTACAGAACTCCTTAAGAGTTCGCATCCATGATCCCACAACAAAAGGGACTCGAACGCATGGCTTTTGGTCTGGCGCGCGAACGCCTAAGTTCCAAACCACCGAACCGACATTCTATAGTGTTAATGTCTAACTTCAACCAATCCGTGATAGTGCGCGACAATCCACGATTGTCTTTAGTGAGTAACTGTCTCACAACAGACACGGTTTGACTCCACTGGTCACGTCTAATCAATAAAACTCCAGGACATACATCTTGAAGCCAATCACTAGTCACTGTCAGAATAAGGGTTTGTGAAAATTGTAATAATTTAATGGTTGAATTTATAAGTCGATTTAAGCTAGACCAATCTGAATAACCTGGAAGTAGTAGACGGCACACTGTTGATTAATTCCATACTAGTCTGAAACAACTATCCAGTGTTACCAGGTTATCCAGATTGGTCTAGTTTAAAACGACTCATGAATTCAACTATTCAATTGCTACAACTACCACAAATTTCTAAATATGAAATGATTTTTTTTTAATGCTTCGCTTTACTAAAACTACATCGTGTAATCTTATCATTTAGATTGTATTAGGTCAATGAAGATGGTAGTTTAATAATGGAGAATCTTATTTATCCAACTAAACAATAGTTACTATTAATGATAATCATCTCAATTGTACACATAAATCTAATACATGAAACTAGAAATAAACAAAACTGAACACAACACATGATGACCTATAATAAATAATAAAGAAACAAGTACTGATATACTTTCTCTAATGAAATAACCAAGTAATTTTATTGTTTTACAAAAGGTCATAAGTCTAATGAAAAAGGTCATAATGGTTAAGAAAAAAAAACAAAATGGTAAGTTAAAATGGTGTTTGGAGGTAGTCAACAGGTAACTCTGGATCTGAGTTTCGTGCTACTTGATACTCGTCAGCAAGGTGTAGGACTTGACACACATAACATTGATCAACACTCAAATAGCACGAAACCCGGATCCAGAGTTTCCTGTTGACTACTTCCAACCACCATCTTATCTCAACATAGTGCACGCTATGTCGAGTCACCTAGACTAGTGGCCACATTACAAGTTGGTCGATAGCATTCGATCTACATTAAGAAGGACTTGACATACATGACAATGATCACCGCCCAGTGATCAATCAATTGTGACGGATGGTAAGTCAATGTATGACTTGTTTTTCTTTTGGAATAAATACAAGGTTTCATGAAGATATCATATCAAAGGAAAGTATACTATGAGCTGAATAATTAAACGATCCTATCTATCTAGATATATAATGATCAGTAGCCTACTTTGTTTATCTTTTTAACTAGAAAAGGTAGTCCTTTTTAAGATGAGGGATATAATTGGTATTTGACCATAGTTATATTCGAAATATTATTCATAAACAGTGAAGCCAACGGGTGAGTAATCTCGAAGTTAGATGTAGAATACTAAATAGATATGTTTAATAAGTTAAGATTGCTGCCGATTTTCACCGACTAAAGTAATTGAAACATGTTAAATGTTTGGCTCGCCGTTATTTACACAGATAGAAAGTGCTGACTTGGGTAGAATATCCTAAAAGAAAGTACGAGTTAATCAAATGAAAACTCGGAATGGATTCTTGGAACCACTAATTTATTAGTAGATCTAGACTATTTGGTTGAGGTTTATACGATAATCTTGATCTGTGGCTAAAAACGTTGAGTAGTTCAATATTGGCCATAGTAGCTATGGGCGGCCAGAACAAAACATGGCACAAATCTATGAAGTCACTGACAAGTAGACTGAGCCGTGTTAGTATGTGTAAAGTACCTGGTAGAGATCCTCGAGATAAAAGCAACTGATGGTTAGAGACCTTGAATGTGACATGGCTCAAAATCGTTTGCAATGACTCAGGTGCATCCACTCTTTGTGTTTGCCCAAATTCTAATCTTCTGAATTCTTCATGTCGCTTTGTTTTTCTCTTTCCAAATTTACTTCACTGGATTATATTCCTTGAGTAACATCTTCATACCCTAATCTTTCCGATTACTGCTTATACTTTTGCTACTTCTACCACTGTGGGATTTGAATCGACAATTGTATCTGTGTGCTAATGTGGTATGGCAAGTTGAACCGATGTACGAACCTACATACGAAGTTCTACGTTGTTGCTGACTGACTGACTGAAATGAAATGATTCCACATATCTCTTTATGATTCGAGTCTCACTATCACATCATATCATAAGTGGCCTTGAGCATGTCCACCTACTGACTAGGGCTAAATGGGGATTTTAAATCTGCGTAAAGGATGTGGATTGTGGTCTGCACTTGATGATTAGGGTTAAAAATTAGATTTGGGAAGTTTTCATCAGAGACTAGCATCAATTAAAATCCCAAAACTGTCTTTAATGAAATGGATGAATGAATTTCGTGCCAAAATTCAAGATCTGCTTTGCTAACCTGATTGGTTCGTCCATGAATTACAGTTTGACCGTAATAACTTGTACAGATGTATATATGTTCAAGGTTCTGTACAGATTATCACTGACTAATATACCACAAAACTCAATAATATAACTTTATACTTCATTTTATTAATCAATATTAATTGGAATACTTTCTACAAACAATGAGACCCATAGGCCCTTGGTTCGAATCCAGAGAATTGTGGGATTGTGGATATGCACTGATAAGGAGTCTCACAATAGGACGAAACAGTCTGCCAATGCTTCCAGATTTTCAATGGTGGTCTAGCTTCAATTAGCTCATGATCTTAACTATTAAAAAAGTAATTCAATATTGTCTACTTAATCCAATCTATTAATTTATTATTAACCATTATAAATTAAGCCATCATCCAGAACATACAAATGTTTATTAACAGTTGCCTACGCAGAATACTTCGGATCCGTTGACCAGACACTATTAGCAACAACCTACTGTGGGAGAGAACAAACCAGATTCCAGCGGAGGAAGAAATCAGGAAGAAGCGCTGGGAGTGGATAGGACACACATTGAGGAAAGCACCCAACTGCGTCACAAGACAAGCCCTCACATGGAATCCTGAAGGCCAAAGGAAAAGAGGAAGACCAAAGAACACATTACACCGAGAAATGGAGATAGACATGAGAAAAATGAACAAGAATTGGATGGAACAAGAAAAGAAGGCCCAGGACAGAGTGTGTTGGGGAATGCTGGTTGGCGGCCTAGGCTCCATTGGGGGTAACAGTGTTGGGGACGATAGATCCCCAAAACTCAAATTTTGTAAT